TCCCGATAAAAGAACTGACTGTGGCCAGAATAACATGTCACTTCAAGACAAAGAGGTATCGAGTTCCTGGGATTCCACCAATCCCATGTTGTCCGAGTACAATTTTAATGTCACATTAATGGAGCTGGTATCGGCAATGAGGAACATCAAGGAAGCGCAGCTCCCGAGGCCGACGAGATCTGATCACAGCCAGAGGGATCCTAATTTATGGTGCGAGTATCATGGGACTAACGACCACCATACTGGACTGCCGACATTTGCGTGAGGAGGTGACAACGTTGTTGAAAAACGGCCATCTCAGAGAGTTTTTAAGCAACCGAGCTAAGAACAATTACGGCTGCAACTGGGACAACGTAGAGCCCTCGAAGATAGGTGAAGACCTTCCCTGACTAACCATCAACATGATTTTCGGGGGAAACGAGATCAATGGTGTAACCTTCTCGGCAGCAAAATAGACAAAGGTATCAGTGACTCATAAAAAAATACTCTAGGAAGTCGCCGAGGCTGACATCACCTTCAAAGAAGAGGAGGCCGACGGACTTCTACTACCGACTATGCCTTGGTAATTTCTCTTAACATTCTAGATTTTAAAATTAAACGTGTGTTGGTGAGCCTAGAATGTTCAGCTAACATCATTCAATGGAGAATGCTGGAACAAGCTAAGCTAACCGAAAACATCATTCCGACAACAAAACTCCTCGCCGGGTTCAACTTAGCAAGTGTTACAACCCGGGGGGAGATCTTGTTGCCCACGAATGCCGAAGGGATCATGAAGACCACCTTATTTGAAGTAGTAGATGGTGACATGGGCTACAACATAATTCTTGGCAGACCATGGTTACATGAGATGGAGTATCACCAACTTCTGAAGTTCCCAACTCCAGAGGGAATCAAACAAATAAGAGGAGATCAACACGCGACAAGGGAGATGAACACTGTCTCGGTTTCCAGTAGTAAGGGGAAGGAACACGCGGTATAGCAATTACAGGAACCAATGCCTGCTCCTGAACCTAACGAAGATAAGAAATGGGAGGAGCCATCGGAATCCCACCAGGTACCAAGATATTTCCAAGTGCCGGAAGAAACGGGCGCAACCAAATCCACAACGGAAGAACTCGAACAAGTGGCATTGTTCGAAAGTTCCTAGAATGCGAAGGAGTTTCATTGTTACACCCCATATTTACGTATGTAAGAATACGTCGCAAGTCAATTGATGTATGCTTAGAAATGAGGTCATCTTTAAAAGTACATAAAGTAAGTTAATCGTGTTACCGTGGAGGTTACAAATATTTAACATCATGAATAACAAGTACCAAGATGGCTGGAAGGCTTAGAAGCTAAATGAATTGAAGAAAATAAGTTTTGTCGAAAGTCGACAAGTTGGGAACCTTATAACATGTAGGTTTGGGGTACGACTAAGGTTATTAACATGATAAAGAGGTTATGCATGATTTATTTTAGTGATATGATAGTCGTGTGTTATGTTTTGAAGTCAAGCGAGTTGTGGAACAAAAGTTGGCCAAGGTCATCACAAGTTACATTCATAAATGTGCTGAAAATTAGGTCAAATGTAGCTGAGCTTTTCTCCCAATATACTTGGAATTACAAGATAATCCACCTACCAACTTGAATATCTACGAGTCTAGTTTCCAACGTATTAAACCGTTTGTCAATATAACATCAGAGTAGAGAGATATTTACGTTTTTGCAAGACTGCACAGACTGGTAGGTGACAAGTAGGTGTGTCACCTACTTGTTTAAATGAAGCGACCAAATAAATCTCCAAAAAGGGGCGGTCAAGAGGCCTTTTAAGGGATGAATTAAATCATTTCATTCACTCATATTTCAGAATAAGAACTTCATATTGAAACCCTACAACTCCTCCCCCATAATCCCACACAAACCCTAGGTGGCTTCGGGGTGATACGAAGTGATTCTAGTATCGAAAAACCCGAACAGCTTGCTAATTTCCCTTTCCCTTTCTTGTAGATGCATTGGGGTACTGGTTTTTGATGAAGAGGGACTAGGTTTCGTGGGTTCTACTTGGTCCATGGTAAGTTTGTGCTTCTTTTTCCCTTATCTAGGCTTCTACGAGTTGTAGCTCGATTGTAAAGACTAGAACTTGTGAGTTTCTAAAGATTAGTATGTTGTTTGTTGTGGCGTCACTATTGGCTAGTTATGAACTTGATTTTAAGTTGAATTCATGGTCGTTTTATATGAGAAGAGGATTAATTATATATTGTTGGTTGTGTTTCCCGATTTAAAAGAAAAGACAAGTCGGAAACGTGTTTTAGTAAACTAAAAAATAAGTTTTGAGTTGCTGAACTTGTGGGACTATTATGGGGTCATTTTAAAGTTGTATTGTGACTGAAAATTAGTATGGATAATTGA